GGAAATTGACAACTGAATTGGTTTGCTTATGAAAGGGCATGCTGGATTTTTAGGAGATGCCATCCCCGGGACCCTGAATCCCAGTCAGAGGGCAGCACAGAACTTGTGTTTAGAACGAAGACAGTGTTCCCCCAGAGTGATTTATACGATCATGCAGGTGGGGTTGGCTTTTTGGGAAGGGAGAAGTGATGCTGCAGGGACTCTGCTCTGGGTCTTGGGGAACAAGTTTCTCCTGCTCTCCTGAGAATGTCCTCGGGAGCTGTGGAGGACAGCAGAGGTTGTTGCTTTGATTCTGAGTCCCCGGAAGACCTTGGGCTCTTTCTGTGCCCACTGCCTGGGCTGCTGAAGAGGCAGAATAATTACGAGTTCTCTGTGCTGAAGCTCTCGGCCAAAGGGAATCACACTTGCTGGCTGTTCTGCACGTTTCACAACAAACGACAACAGTGCTTTCAGGCAAGCGCTCACCTCAGAAAGTGTCATTTTGGCCGTTCCTCCAGAAGAGAACCATAGCTTTCTTTCTCTTGTTCTCCCCAAACCAACGTCCAGTCATTGTATCAAAACCAACAAGGGCCAGGCCTTTCCCTCCACGGACGAAGCCTCTTTGGCAGGAGGCCGTCTGCACGGTAGAGAGAGGAGAGAGGAGGGGGGAGACCGGATGGGAATTATGAGAAGGGAGGAAAAGGAGTGGGGGATAAAGGGAGATGGGCCTGAAGAAAAAGACGAGACGGCCCAGCGGTTTCCGAGCAGCGACCTCTGGGTGGTGTGACTCGGCCTTTGAGAACACCTGGAGCCCCTCGAGATTCTACGAGCTGCCCGACAGAGAACCTTTCACTCGTATTACGGCTCCACAAGTTCTGGTCACTGCTTGGGGACTGACTGATTGATTAATCTTTGGTCGTTGTATGAGTCAGGTTTTCCCAAAGAAACAGAACCAGTAGGGGATGTGTGTGTTGTGGGGGGGGGGGGGGGAGATGAAGAAAGAGGGAGGTTGACCTTAAGGAGGTAAGAGATCGTGGAGCTGACGAGCCTCAAGTCTGCAGGGCAGGCCAGCGGGCTGGAGGCCGGCGAGGAGATGATCCGAAGGCGCCTGGAAGCAGAATGCCTTCTTCCTCAGGGAGCTTCAGCCTTTCTCTTCAGTCCCCGACTGACTGGACGAGGCCCACCCCACTAGACGGAGGGGCGTCGGCCTGACTCAAAGTCTGCTGCTTCAGATGTGCATCTCACCTAAAAATCTCATCTAAAAAAAGGCCTTCACAGGAGCATCCAGACCCGTGTTTGACCAAATACGTGGCCACCGTGGTCCAGCCAAGTTGACACGTAAATTAGCCATCACCCTCCCCAACGCGACATCTAACTGGGACCCACTCAGAGTGACTGGAATCCACGGCGTTATGGGTGGTAGACTGGTTTATGAGCTGAGAGAAGACATTCTCTCAAGAGGCCTCAGCTGGAACCCGACCTTCCATAACTTCCGCAGCACACTCACCTTCTAGGAAGGGACGTCCGTAAAGGCGCCTTGTCCTAGGTTACACAGCCGAGCGCAAGAATTACCGCGCAGGTTTATTAGATGTGCGATTCCTCAAGGGAATACAACGTTCACGGTCGGATGGGACTCGGATGCAACCTGAGCTCCCCTCCTGGATGCGTTGTGGGCGCTCTGCGTGGATGGAACCGCGGCCATGGGCGGCCCAGGAGGCGGTCCCCGCGTTAGCTGGAACCTGCATGGCTGGGAAACCGGGGACCCCGACCTTAGGCCACGTGGTGAGGGCCACAGAGGGGGACAGCAGCAACGGAAGGAGGAACGCTTCCTCTCTACAAAAGCTCACACGTGAGTCTTCCCTACCCACTTTTGAATGGCGCATCTGAAAAAACACTGAATCCCAGTTTCTCTCCCTAGGCTTTAGGGACATTAGGATTAACACAGTCATTGTGCAGAAAACGGGACCCTCGGGTCACGTGACTGCAGCCGCTCATTTGCTCCGCCCCCCGTCCCACAACCCGCATGGGGTTCGCTTCCCTCAGTGAGGGCGCAGGTTCAGGGAGGGTCCTGGGTTCTCTGTGCAGCTCCTCCCTCACCTTCCTGCTTGGGCTCCATCTCTAGCCACCTGACTACTTCTCTCTCCGGGCACTTATTTGGGGTTAAAGTTGTCCGGGCAGATCTCCCTGCAGGGGTGATGAGTGCCAGGGAGCCGACAGGCTGCACCGCGGGGACCAGGGCGAGCAGTAGCGAGAGCTGGGGGAGCAGGAAATGCTGCACACAGGCTCCCCGGGCCTCGCCGCCCGCCCCAAACCAGGGGCCAGCCTTCGAGATTTTCTGTGCCAGGCTGCTCGGCCACCCGAGGAACAAACAGCAAACGTGGCAGCGTTTCTAAGACAAGGGCGAGGGGCTGAGAAAAAACTGGCAGCAGATGAAGGCGGCTGGCTCAGATCTGGAAGCGAGTGGACAGACGCCTGTCACCCAGTGGCCGACTCAGGCCAGGCATCTGAGCAATGCCGCTGTGGGACATACGGCCACCCCGGGGCTGGGAAGTTAGTCCCGTCCCCACCCGAGGCCTCTCGGGGACCGGGGAGCGCGGATCTGACCTTAGCAGGGGCTTCAGCCAAGCCCCAAGCGTGCGCCTCGCGCTCAGCCCCGTCTCCCCTGAGATCGGAACAGGACGAAGGTGAGCCCGATGAGAGAAGAGTCTCAGCCCCGGTATTTCCAAACGGGGGACTGACCGTCCGCCTCTCCGTGCACAGCTGGCCACAGGCCCTGCTCCCAGCCCGAGGTCTAACTCACCTAGTTTTGTAACTTCCAACCTTCTGGAAGACTAGAGATTTCAGGGTTTTCAAGGCACATCACCCATCTGTTTAAAGGCAAGTAAACTCCCTCCAGGGCAGAGTCGACACCCCGGGCACCACACCAGGCCCTTGTCAGGCTGGAGCCTCGGCTTCCCCCAGATCCGGTCCCACCGCTCCCAGAACAAGCTGGGCCTCTCCACGTGCTGCTCGTGGGGACCTCCGCCGTGAACACGGTTCCCCAGCGTCCGCGCTCGTCCCGACTGCCCGCAGGTCGTCGCTGCTCCCTCGCGCCTCAGAGGAACCTGCACTCTCCTTACCATCGCACCCCATTTGGTAAATACTTAGAAGGCTTGTCTCCCTCATAGTTAGTGTCTGCTTCAACCTCGGCACTGCATTTATGACCGAGCACATATCCTATACAACTATACACATATATCAAGATATTGAAGGAAGGAAGGAGGGGCTGACACAGGAAACAGCTTCTTCCCAGAGAAGGCCTCTGAGAGGAGTGAGATTTGTGCTTAGACTTCAGGGGACACAGTTCTTACCTGATTCACCGAGGGGTGATGTGTACGAGGCTGTGGGCACCTGCCTCTCTCACCTGCCATTAAAGGATTGCAGCCTATTCTGCAGACCTTCTATTGACTGTAAACAGTCAACCCAGGGGAGGAAAATCCCTCTGAAGGGCGCTGCTGGCTACACGCAACCCCAAACAAAACTGAGAGAACACAGCTATTTCTGTCTTGAGGAGGAATAGTTAATGCCATTAGAAACTAAGATAAAAGAGAAAGAACCCTCTGTCTTCACAGATGAGTCATTGAAACCTGCTTCAGAAGACCACCCATGGCTCCGGAGAAAGTATTTTGCTGGTTAAGTTTTTATCGTTCAAGTCTCTTGCAAAGGCTAATTTGAAAGCGGCCAGAAATCACACTACTTCAAATGCCACTGGTGGTTTACGAAAGGACCCGGCCCTGGCCTGCTGAGTCTCTACGGCAGAAACCTTGCCACCTTCCTCTGGCTGAAATGTGACATAAGCAATATTACTGAGAGCTGACGGCTGATTGGGATAATTACATCTTTAGAATCATCCACCGGGTCTTCGTGAAATGTCCTCAAAATTCTAGAAGATTGTGGAAATTCTCAGATTGCCGTTTAGCTTCAATATAACTGAACGATACATTTAAGCTGTACTTTCCTACCTTCTTGGGTGCCAAATACGTTTTTAAAAAATCAGACAACTTCTCAAGTTAAAATGCGACAAATGGACATATTCAGAATGACAAGTGGACAGCTGCGAACAGACTCATCATAGTTGTAATCATGCAAATGTGTCACCTGTGTGATGACAGAATACTTTGGGCCTCCTGTTAGACCCTCCTAGGATCTGAGCTACTTTCCTCGGAGAGCTGGTGGTCCCCCAAGGCCCCCTCTCCCAAGTCTGCATGGACACTGGGAAAGAGGAGAGAAGCTAATGAATGTCCTTCCCTCATGGAGTCCACAGGGACATTTAACACCAAGCTGAGAGAATACGGTGACACTTCAAATAACCTATTTTGGAAAAAGAACCTGAAAAAGAATAGATACATGTATGTGTAGAACTGAATCACTTTGCTGTACACCTGGGACTAGCATGACATTGTAAATCAACTATACTCTAATACAAAATAAAAATTAAATTAAAAAAATAAATAAATAAGCCATTTTTTTCCAGGAAGTCTAAATTCCTCTCAAAATCTAGGAACAGCTTACAAAGCTTTACTGAGGGAAGGAAGGGAAGGAAGAGGGGGGCTGAGAAGGGAGAAGGGAAGGAGCTGGGAAGAAACAAGGGCTCTCACGGTGACCAGCGCTGCCCTGTGCGCATCCCTCACTCCCACAGCCCACCTCTCCCAGGAGAACGCCCCACTGACCTCAAAAGAGAATGAACGGAAAACTTCTCCTTCTTCAGACCTTCCCTCTCGGTGTCACAAAATGAAGGAAAAAAAAAAAAGAGGTCATGATAAAACCTTGATACTAAAGCTTCTCAAATAACTCAGTACATTTTTCAGTAGCTTGACCAGCCTGAGAGATGTAACCAGAGGATTCCAGATCTCCCTCCTAGAGACTGAAATCCAGAGAGGGATACATGGGGAAAGGGGAGATCTTAGTGAGACCCTCCATGGAGAGCAGGAGGGGAACACATACCTGCATTCACACCATCAACCATTTCCTCACCAGACGTGTCGATAAGAATACCAGGTAACAATTTTATTCACAAATAAAAAAAAGGTCTTACAAAACTAGTTATGTAAGAAAACCAACATTTACAAATGTATCAATTCCAGTATGCAAAACAGTCATGATGGGGTCTAAACTGATGCGAGCTGACTGCCTTAAAGCAATGATGGATAGTTTTTCCTTTTCTTTTTTTTTTTTTTTTTTTTACTAGCACAGACAATAGTGCTTAACCTAGGTAACGGCAACATTAACACTTTATCTAAAGTAGAAAAATCTACATTTGAAAAATACATTCCATACACACAAGATTAGAAAACCCCACGCCTTTATGTGCTTGTTCTCCAACCCTGGTCTCATCCTTGTCAGTGAGCTTCTGCAGTGCCGCAAGTCTCAAGCACCCGCACTCCCAGCCCTGTTACTAGCTGATGGCGGTTCCTGGCAGCAGCACCCTAGCAGCTGAGTTCTGCAGGATATTGACATGCAATGCCAACTGGATTGTCCTCTACAGCATTGACAAAGAGTGCAGACTATAACATCATTGTATGCTTCCATAGCACATGGCAGTAAACTGTCTTCCTCTGGATAAAAATAACCCAGGATCGGGACTTCCCTGGCGGTCCAGTGGTTACGACTTCGCCTTACAATTCAGGAGGTGTGGGTTCGATCCCTGGTCAGGGAGCTAAGATCCCACATGCCTTGGGGTCAAAAAACCCCCAAACATAAAACAGAAGCAATATTGTAACAAGTTCAATAAAGACTTTAAAAATGGTCCACAACAAAATAATCCAGGATTTTTCAAATGCAGAATCCAATGAGATCAATTTTTTAACCCTAAGTGTTTCTCTATTGATCAAAAGTGATGTTTCAGGATTTGTGGCCGAAGTCTCATTCCCATCAATCTCAGCTTTCTCCTGCAAGGGTTTTTGCCTTTGAAGTTGAAGAGGGCTCTGCGTGTGGAAAATATACTCGGGTTACAAAAAGGAGCACAGCCCTGGCCTACTTGGATCACCCCTCTGTCACCACAAAAGTGATCAGATTACAAACTACGAACGGCACACATGTGACTTACAGTGAAACTTGCATTTTCGTGGACCTCTTGTGATCAGGTCCTAAATACCTTACATATATTTCCTAAGGGCAAGTCTCAGAAGAGTTGGTGAGTACCCGAGCTTAGGAACCATTGGTTTAGGCTAAAAAAGGAAGAGAAAAAAGAAAGTCAATCAACTATGACTGGACACCAGGTAGACAGGAAAGGCTGTGCCTTACCATGAGACCCTCTAATTTCCCATTTCAGTCAAAGGCACGGAGGTCACGTGCACGACATACCGTGAGCTCATGTCCGCACAGGGATCCTGAGCTGCAGATGGAGGGACAGTCCCAGCACGAGGAAAAGGCCTCGTGAGAGCTCACTACTGCAAGAGAGCAAAGCACGGGGCAATAAGAGGGAAGATAAAAATGTCCTTGGAAAAGGCAGATTTCTATTGCGGGATCTTAATTCCCTGACCAGGGATTGAACCCAGGCCCTCGGCAGTGAAAGTGCTGAATCCTAACCACTGGACTGCCCAGGAATACCCTCTAATGCTCACTTTAAATGTCAGGTAGAAGACTGATTTGGAAACAAAATATCTCAGCATTCTCTAACACAGGGATGTTCAAAGGTCTGTTTCTTTTTTAAGTGCAAATGGGACAGAGCTAATAGTAATCACTTAAAAGACAACAGCCAGAGCTGATCACGTATGTTCAAGCAGGAAAAAAATAAATTCTGCTCAAATAATTCCTCTCCAGGGCGCAGAGGCGAGCCAACGAACCATCCCCTGGTTCATGACTGAGCGGGGTTATTTCTGTCTCAGCTCTAGAGCTAATTCTAGTCGGTAAATACCAAGGTGGTAGGGGATGGAGCGCCTTCATAGAAGCACCAGACTCTTAAGTCCAGCGCCGTTGGGCTACGGTGGGAATTACTGTGCTGAAGAAGCTTAGGAGATTGGTGGGAGCCCCGTATGGCAGTTATAATCCATTCACCTAAACGCTGCCTACAAGCTGTGCTTTTTCTTCTGGTCCTAATATGCAGAGTCTCCTAAGACTACTCACCTGGTGTCATGCTTCAGTAGCAGGGAAACCTGATATGTTGTCATTTCTAAAGCCTTTAGTATAAAATACGATGCAAATAAAAGATCATTATAAATACCGATTCTCTATAAAAGAGAAATTCTGCATCTTTTAAGCTCAGTCCCAGGGACAGAAGTAACAAATGCTTCCATATCAATGGATTTTCACATAAATCTGCTAATCTAGGATGCGCACGCTAAGGGGTTTTTAACTCAGAGGGATGGGCAGTCCTTTCCCAAACACATGTCCTAACTCAGGCCCCTCTTGTTAACTAATTCTGCCGCCGTTCGCAAGACAGTGGCTGAGGCGAGAAGCCTCAATTCTGCAAGATTTGGTCTCTTCTGATTCCCAGTTAGGACAGTTAACATCATCTAATAAACCCAAGACTCAGGCAGGCCATGTGAAGTCAATTCTAACCTCCTATTCTAATTATTTAGAAGATGAAAAGGTGACCTTCAGGAAATAAAAACACTCCCTTTTGAACCCATGCTACCTAAGAACTAAGGTAACTCATCTGACGCCGACTTAGTAGGATATATGAAATTATTTCTGGAAAGAAAATGTAAATGAAAATTTTTACTCTGGGTCTTCAGTCTTGGCAAACCACCCCCACCGTGAAAAGAAGCATGAATGCATTTCTGTTTCTCATTATACCCCTAAGCTCGGTGGCTGCAAACTTGGCCCGTCAGTCTCTGAAGTCAGCCTGTAGCGTAGAAGCTTCTTGTGTAGGAAAGATGCAAAGTCTCAGAAGTGCTTGGAGTGTATTCCTTGAGGTCTCAGCTTACAGCTGGTCTGGCTCAGAAGCAACTGGTTGAAAGGCTTAAAATGCCATCAGTGTGGTTCAGATTTACTTTCTTCCCCCAGAAGCCATGCGAGGTCCAGACGGTGCTGAGTCCATAAGCAGAGGAGTGGCTGCCCTTTGGGCTCCATACGACACTTCATTGCAGAAAGAAGCAAGTCCTTTCGGCCTCCTGAAACGGTGACAGAAGGACAGCTTTGAACACAGCACCTGACAAATTAAAGCCCTAAACTGTGACTGTAAACATTTATGGTGCTTAGCTTCTACTAATTGCACACATGAATTTTATAATATATGGACAGAAGTTCCTGTCAGGGTGTCCCAATATCAGGTACCCATGTACTCTGAGAATAAAAACAAAGATTTCCTAACAACCCACAGTCACTCCATATGTGCAGACCTCAAAAGATGAAAATGTGCCCCAAACAAACTGTATCGATGAACAATTCTTTTGCTGATTTTCAACCTCAGTCAAACACTTAATGCTTGTTTCTGTGTTGCACTCCTTTAAAGCAACTGTAGGTAAAGATTTTAGGATTCTTTAGTCTATTCTTTAAAAGAACAAAGATGGTTAATAATTAATGCTATTCTTAGTCTTTGAATTTAAAACTTCTGTGAAGTCTTGGAGAAAGTTTAGAAAGAGTCTGGGAATGAGACTTCTCTTATAATGACCTCCCTGGAATACTCACACATACGTCACAGGGCAAACGTCCTCGGGAGAGAGCAGCCTTTAGATCTGTCCCTTATCACAAAAGCACAGTGACCTCACTTTGGGAGGGGGTGAGGCTTGGGTCACCTGCGTGTTATTGTACGTGAGTGAAACCTTCATTCACGCCGTAACCCTTCATTAACTTACCACTAATTTGGCATTAGTGACATATCAGACATATTTACAGAAAAAATTTTTTTCAAAGGTCTAAGGAGATTATCTAGAAATAGAAACTTCTGAGGTTCTCTCAATAATAAGATAGTTTTATCAAATATGTTGATCAACTGATATGATAATAACAACCATATTAATGCTACCAGGGAGGAAAATTATACTTAATTGGCCAATAAGGAAAAAATAGAGATGTTGATAGACTGAGAAACTAGAACCCAGGTCATCTCCTATCTTTTCTAGCATTCCTTCCATTATTTCATGTTGACGTTTAAAATGTTGGTTCAGAAACACCATCAAAGAAAGCTTTTCCTGTTATTAAACAGGCTGGCTTCCTTCCCCCAAATACCTTAGCAAGTGATGTCTCAGTATCTTAGACCTGGTTCCCTTCTGGGGAGGTGTGTTCAGGGAACATCTGATTAAAATGGAATCATACAGACTAAAGACAGCTCTCACTCCTATTTGCTTTATCCCGAACCATATCATTATCAGACTCTGGGTGGCATTAAACTACCCACAGGAAGACTACCGTGTAAAAATAAATTTTCGGAAACAAATGCATCACACATTAGAAATCTGAGCCTCACACCAAAAACAGACAAAAGTCCCTTGGTGCACTTGGCAATGAATCGAATCATCACACTGTACATCTTTAACTTCTGCTATGTTATACGTCAATTACATCTCCATAAAGCTGGGGAAAAAAGAGTGAATAGAGGTTAAAATACAAGTGAATGAAACTTGTATTCACGTGAAATAGAGGTTAAAATACAAGTGAGTGCCTGGGTAGGAATTTAAAGTTTCATTGAAAATAAAATACAAATAAATTGTTTAAAAAGGGGTGGGGCTGTTTTGGCAACAGCTGCCCTCATCCACCCCCCAAACAGAAAACAGTGCCCTCCTGAGTTAGGAGTGAGCCCACATCAGGGGCCAAGCTCACTGCACTTGAACTTGAGGAGCCAGGAGTCCTGCCCTCTGGTCCATTAATAGAAAGCTTCCGAAATCAAATTCTTTTTTTTTTTTTTTTGCGGTACACGGGCTGCTCACTGTTGTGGCCTCTCCCGTTGCGGACCACAGGCTCCGGACCCGCAGGCCCAGCGGCCATGGCTCACGGGCCCAGCCGCTCCACGGCACGTGGGATCCTCCTGGACTGGGGCATGAACCCGTGTCCCCTGCATCGGCAGGCGGACTCTCAACCACTGCGCCACCAGGGAAGCCCTGCTATTTTTAATTATATGGAGAAAATGGAAATGATTTACATTTTAACAATCCCTTTCTTGAATTCAGGATGTCTTATTTAGATTTACCAAAATTATCTAATAGTTATAAGACAACACATCTTGGAAAGCCTATAAAAACCTTTCATTAATAAATTACATGGAGTGGGGCTTCCCTGGTGGCACAGTGGTTGAGAATCCGCCTGCCATTGCAGGAGCCACGGGTTCGAGCCCTGGTCCGGGAAGATCCCACATGTCGCGGAGCAACTAAGCCCGTGCACCACAACTCCTGAGCCTGTGCTCTAGAGCCCACGAGCCACAACTATTGAGCCCGCGTACCTAGAGTCCGTGCTCCACAGCAAGAGAAGGCACCGCAATGAGAAGCCCACGCACTGCAAGGAAGAGTAGCCCCACTCACCGCAACTAGAGAAAGCCCGCGTGCAACAACAAAGACCCAACGGAGCCAAAAATAAATAAATAAAATAAATAAAAAAAATATTTGGTGATGTCCTTAGCCACTGAAAGCTACCTCAAAAATAAATAAATAAATTACATGGAACAAGCTGTATGTAACATTTCCTCATTCATCTTATATGTAATTATAACTTTCCATCAGACTTTGAGTTGAAGGTATCGTTATGTAATCATAATTACCTTGACAACTCTCTATGAAAAGAATTCATGTCATGATGCACCAATCTTACACACTAAACTATGTTTCCACAATTCTGCATCCATGTAGCTGGGACAAAAGGGCTCATCCACCCTACCTCCACCTCCTCCATAACATAGACAGGACAAAGGGCAGGCTGGGCTGCTTCTGACACGACGTGGCTTCGAGATGCTTCATTCCTTAGTTTTAGAATTTACGCCACAAAATTGGGGACAAGCTACAAAATTAAGACGAGCAGTAATTCTATGTACTGACAATACTCGGAAGAACTGTAGCTAGTGTGATGGTAGCACCGTCACTGCAGCCACTCAGACTTTCTTCTGACAGGAGATACACGGGAAGGTGAAACAGATAACTCGTGAAGGTAACACAAGCAAGTTTATCATCAGAACCAAGTGACTTGATGGAAAAGAAACTTCAGCATTTTGTAATGAAAACATGACTCAGATGAAATATTAAGTGTCCTAAGATGCTCATTCTAGAGTGCGTGGCAAGGCTTCCGACTGGGACGTTGGGATTAGATGCCAAAGGGCCCCGTATCCTGTCTTCCGCGTCCTCCTCTCACCCGTTCTCGGGGCTTGTTAGCTGCTCTGGGCTGCTGGGGGTTCTCTGTCCGAAGGTCTGTGGGCCACGTCCATGCTGAGACCTATATGCACCTAGGCCAACTCTTAAGTCTTTTCTTATTATCCTCATGAACAGTGTGAAAATCAGAGGCTGGCCCCAAAGAACAAGGTCAGTGAGTGAGCTTCCCAGCTACAGAGCTGCACAGTCTGTGTTTTTTAAACGGCCTCATTTGTTTGATTTTCCTCCGTTCATGGATCTCTTCTTCATTTCTGTTATTATAAGAAAACCAACATCGTTTTTTCTCCAAAGCCAACAAATGTTTTCAGTACAGAATTCCCTGTACATGCTTTATAGATTTTCTTCATAGTTAAAAAAAAAGTACTGCAGGTTTAGATGCACATAAACCCACATACACGTTCTTAGAAGGAACTATCTCCGTCCACACTGACTTTAGACTCTTTCTGATTTTATTAGACAAAGACAGGACGTCTCAAGGAAACAGAGGTGCTATCCAGGAGCCCGCGCAGCGTGCTTGTGGCCCATCGGCCGCGTCCCTGATCTGGGGCAGGAAGGACCGAGGATGAGAGCAGCCCTGTCTGTGCAGAACAGGGCTTGCGGGGCCTGGGAGCCCCTGTTGCTGTGATTCTGCCCTTTCATACTCAAGGCCAGCATCGTTCTCCCAGAAGGACGCACACCAACAATGTATGTGCTCACATTCAGGGAACGCTTATACACACCAAGCCCAATTCAGCAAAGGCCACCTCCTCACCTGGACGAGAAAGCAGGAACAGGGCCCAGGGGCCCCCGGGGTCAGAGCCCGTCTCCCTTCAGTCACCACCTGCCCCACCCCAAAACCTGATGTCAGACCCTTCCATCTGGAAGGATCTTCTGCTGTATTGGGTGCCAGATCACAACCAACAATCAGTTTCCAACCAAACTGATCAATCAGTCAAAGCAAAGCGATCTAGAAAAAAAACCACAGTGAAAGAGAGAGGAGGGGAAAGGGTAGCCGTAGGGGACCTGAATTCTCATTAACTTGACCGTGAATGGACAGCATATAAGTATTGGGCATAAGAACATCACAGGGGAAGACAAAGGTGAGGAACTGCTTCCAAGATGCTCCCATAACTAATTCATCTCTCAGCCAGGATGGTGCTGGGGTGCGGTGCTGGGTAGCTGGAGTGACAAGAGGAGAAAAGAATGCGGCTGCCCTGGATGGCCTTAGAGATAAGCTGTTAGTTAAAAAAAAAAGACTCCTGAAATTTAATTTAAATATATTCTCCTATAACATACAAGAAGTTATGAAGGATGGAAAGACCTTCTCCCCAGGTTCCCCCACATTTAATGGGGGACAGAGTCCTGTTCCCTCTGGGCTTCCTTAATTCACTGCTGTGCCCACACCGAATCCATCGCTGCCTTACCTGGGGTGACGGCTGAGTGGCCAGGTGATGGACATCTCCTCTCTCCTGAGCCAGCTGATTTCTGGCAGTGAGCGCGTCCTGAGTTAGCGCTGGTTCTGGCACTGAGTTGTTGAGTCTCGATAAATCAGTAGTTTCTGTAAAGCTTTCAGGGTGAGCTTGAATTGGAACTGCTCCGCCCACCAGACCCCGACTACTGTTTGAGTCCAAGGATGCTGAACTTGCACTCTCTGGATTGAGAGAGTGAACGTCTTCTCCAGGGAGCTCAGGATAAGAAGCGCAAGAAGAGATGTCGTCACCACAGCTGGGATTTTGCATCAGCGGCCAGGCGTCCGAAAACTCGCCACAGATGGACCTCGAAAGGGACCCAAAGAAAGTCGGCACTGCTTCCCCCGCTGGACCTGTGTCTCTGGACACATGTTCGAAAGAGCTGTAAGTACTCTACTGGGAGAAAAACCTACTACAAAGCAACATTCCAGCTATGCTTTTCAGTTTTCTAGATGAAATAAACAAGTTATTGAGTCAGAATTCTCACGCTTCCTTTGTTATAAACTTCCTTCAATACAGTAAGTTAAATTACTACGTTTACTTTAAAACCGAATTTTTATACATACTTCTAACCAATATAAACTTAATCCGATGTCTAAAATAGTCAGTTTCCTGGGTCTTAATTGAGTTCCTTTGATTGCTGTTCTAAAATTCTCTGAGTATGTGACATGCTAAAAATTACTTACAGATGATGGAAGTGTCACAAATCATGAATATAAGACAAAAACAAAATTAGTGGAATATAAAGGATAAAGAATGTTACCCTGGCTATCAGTAACCCTGAGACACTTACCTAATTCTTGCCAAAGTTCCCACCCCCTACAATGTCTAGAATGTTATTAATGATACTAAAAAAGTGATGTCCCATAGTTTCCCATGAAAATTGGTACATGAGTAGCCTGTATATTTGCAGGCGGGAACACGAAATTATATAGATTAAAAACACCCATTTACCTGTCCTGAAGAATGGCCTTGGAGTGCACCCTACAAGCAGGAGTCTCCCGGCCGACGCTGCAGGCCCCGTCACAGCACGGGGATGGGATGCGATGCACGGGCCCTAGGAAAGCCGGCAGGGCTGTGAGGAGCAGTGCTGTTTATACCAGTTCAACACTGCTCTCAAAAATTTAGCTATTCCCCTTTGGGTGACTTTCGGGGGGAAAGGGGTTATGAGGTTTTTGAAACAGCTTTTTTCATATCTTAAAAATGATGGACCACTTCTATGAAGGACCCGGAAGAGTCAAATTCCTGGAGGCAGAGAGTAGGATGGTGGGTCCCAGGGGCTGGAGGGCAGGAAGAATGGGGGTGAGTGTTTAAAGGGGACAGGGTTTCAGTTTCGGGTCGTGGAGAAGATCTGGGGATGGTGGTGATGGTTTCACGACAATGTGAACGTGCTTAATGCCCCCCAACTGTACACTGAGAAACGGCTAAAACGGTAAATTTAAGGTGATGTCTATTTTACTACAATGAAAATAAGGATGAAGAGGAATGATGAGAGGGTACGTGAAATGAGACTTTCACCTATGGCTGACGAGGGCGGAAAGAGCACAGGGTTTCTGCAGAGCGGGCTAGCCATGCAGCGCAGAACATAAACGTCTAAACCCTTTAACTCCACACATACAACTTTTTGTTTTTTTACTGCTAGGAATGTATCTTAAAGAATAACTATCTACGTGCACACAGCTTTGCAAACTGTTATGTTCACTGAAGCGGTATGTATTTTTGGTTACAAAGATAATACACATTCACTGAAGAAAAAACTTTAAAAATAGATTAGATCAGAAATTAAAAAATGAATCTTCCTTAATTCCATAAGCTGCAAGACACTGTCCACATTTCTGAACAGCCTTCTAGACTTCTCTCTCTACATATACAGACATATGTAACTCTGATTTTATAAAACTATAGATATAGTAAAACATACAGACAAAATTAGGAAATGAGCGTTAATCACGCTGTTGTGTGAGAGAACATTCTTGTTCTTAGGAACCAAGCGCTGAAGTAAAGGGACACCTTATCTGCAACAGATGTTTCTCTTTTTCTGGCTGCACCGCACAGCTTGTGGGATCTCAGTTTGCCAACCAGGCACTGAATCCAGGCCACAGCAGTGAAAGCCCAGAATCCTAACCACTAGGCCACCAGTGAACTCCCTGCAACTGATTTTTAAATGGAAATTTAAAAACTGTGTACGTGTCTATGTAAAGCACACAGTTGGCCCTCGAACAACATGGATTTGCACTGTGTGGCTGCACGTATTGGAGGATTTTCCTCAACAGTAAATACTACAGTGCCACACGATCAGCGGGTATTTGGTTCCGAGGATGTAGGACGGATACGGAGAAACCGTGAACACAGAGAAGCCGCAGATACAGAGGGCCAACTCTAAGTTACAAGTTGATTTTTGACTGGGCGGAGAGTGGGTGCCCCTAACCCCCAAGTTGTTCAGGGGTCGACTGTGTACACCCACCATACTTAGAAAGAGATAAAAATGATACAGCAAATGTGGACATGAGATAAAATGTTAATACTGGGGGAATCTAGGGACAGGGTATGTGGGAATTCTTTGTCCTATTCTTTCAACATTTTTGTAAGTCTGAAATTATGTCAAAATAAAAGTGAAAAGAAAACAGGCACTGTCACTAAGGAAGAAGCAATTTATATGATGAGCGACACTGAACGTGGGCGGGTGACAGCGGGGGCGGATGCTGTCCAGTCTCTGCGTTCTATTTCAAAAACGTGCAACAAAGCCATCCACGTATTTAATCTTTCTTTTCAGATAGAAGTGACGATGAGGCAGAGTTTGCACAAAGCTGTACTTGATCACATTGAAACCCAAGTTTCTCTCTCAAGCAATCCTGTTTGCTAACTCTGATCTAGGGGCAGTGCCTGGCGCAGCATCTAGAAAATGCGGTGCTTGGGCCGCCTTGAGAATCACCAAGGCATCGGTGCTGCCAGGAGCTGAGTCTACGATCTCTGCAGGCAAAGGCAAAACCAGAGCCACGCATGCCATGGCAATCCCATGTTTTGTTCTTAACCCTAAAGCAGAAGACAGTAGTGGCCAGTAGAGAAATACTTACGTTGAAGATGCCTTGGCCCACATATTAAATATTAGACTGAAAAGCTGAACCCTTCAATTTCTTGAAAAGAAAGATCGGACAGTTCTGAGACAATAAGCGATTGAATTGGGACATGTTTAACTTCAAGGAAGGTTACAGGAGACAAAATGCTGCTGCGCTATTGCAACCACAGGTGCCGGGGGACCTGTGAGGGGTGGATGGGGCAGGTGGCGGGCAGGCTTCCGGAAGGGCTGCGGCCGCGTCGATTTTTACTTTGCAGAGGAAGTGAGTTTGTGGGGACAGGGGCAGGAAGTGTGCCAGCTGGTGTGACCTTTGCCCGTTTTTGCCCACGTTAGAAACCAAGTCCACCTGAATCACAGGCAGACACGGCTGTGTCGTGCCTCACAGCTATTGCTTTTTCCCAAAGTGAAGGTTTGTGGCCACCTTGCGTCGAGCAGGTCTGTCGACAGCATTTTTCCTACTGCATCTCCTCACTTTGTGTCTGTGTCCCATTTTGGTAATTCTCACAATATTTCGAATTTTTCATTATTTTTTCATTATTATTATATTTGTTCTGCTGATCTGTGATCAGGGATCTCTGTTGCTACTATACTCGCTGAAGGCTCAGATGACGGTTAGCATTTTTCAGCAATAAAGTATTTTTAAATTAAGGTGTATACATTATTTTTTTAGACATAATGCTGTTGCACACTTAATAGACTTCAGTACAGTGCAAACATAACCGCTATATGCACTGGGAAAGCCCAAAATATCACGTGACTCACTTTATTGCAATATTCACTTTATTGCAGTGGTCTGGAACTGAACCCATAGTATCTCCGGGGTCTGCCTGGACTTCCCTAAACTTTCACTTCTGTCAATAACCCCAGAGGCAATTATGGTTTGTGGAAAACCCTGCAATAGGTCTCCCTCCTCCCTCTTCTTTAAGATATCCCAAAATACACTAAGACACTTACGTGCAGGTTCAGGTGGAATCCACCAGACAAGGATGGAGATGGATCCCCTGCTCTACAAAAGGCTCATATTATTTTAAATCAATTCACCCCAAAATAAAGGCAAACTTGCTTAAAAAGTTACTGAGAAATTCTAGAATTTTAATGAGATGCTTCTTTTCTGTTAAATACTTAAGAGACACAAAACACCCAAAACATCAGGGGACGGGGGAGAACGACTGAACTAGATTAGCTTTAACTAGAAAACTGAGTGGGAGCAGTTCTTTGCAGCTTCAGGGCCTGCATTCCTAGTGGCCCCCAGGCGCTGAACTTACCGCAGGTCTGGGCCGAGTCCCGGTGGCACTGACAACAGGCGTGGGGCGCAGGGCCGCTGAGCCGAGGTCTGTCGAAACAGGACAGTTCAGAACCGTTGTACTGCAGGTCCTGTGCCCTCAGGGACCCTGCGGAGGCCGAGAACTCGGTCAGCAAGACAGCTTCCCCAGGAGGAGCCCACAAACATCCCAGTGCAACCAGAACTACCCCGGCTTTTGCAGTTATAAAGGAAAGGAGAGCTGTTGTTCACATCTAAAAATACTTCTTACACGGAAGCAAAGATATGAAACAATCGGTCAAGACAGCTCGAGCCGTAAGGTACTTGTGTTGCCAGAGCTCAGACGAGCTGTGTTTCTGCCGAGGCGGGGGGGGTACCCCTGCCGCCTCAGGTCCCCGGGAAGTGGCCACCCCTGCCCGGTGGCCGCGCCCTCAGCGCCTTTTGGCAGGAGGCCTCTTGGGGAGCAGGCCCCTGGGATGCCTGTTTCCACGTGCTCTCTCTGTCCCTTTGGCTGCAACCTGACTCTCCTCTTAGGTTCTCGTCGAACACCCGGATGGCAGTGATGACCAACACCCTCACCAAGATGCTAAGACACAGAAAGGGCTCAGAACTCACAGCTGGGTTTCTTCTCCATAAACTGCCGCTTACAGTATATGACGCAGAGGATGAGCAGGGCCAGCAGGACGGTGGCCAGGGCGCTGCAGATCACGGCAGCCAGGGCCGTGTCCCGTGGGCTGGAGGCCGGGGACGGGATCCTCACCAGGTTGACCTTGCTGGTACCTGAAAACCACGGGGATGGAATCAGCACTTCTCGACCACCCAAGGGACTCCGGTGCTCACACTGAACTCGGGGTCCCCTGCAGCAGTGGCCTTCATGCAACATCAATGAGACCAAGGGGAGGTGTTCTAGAGGGCTCAGACTCTCCCTCCGCCTGGGAGATTGCTTGAATACCGCGCCTCTCCCTGCGACGCTCCTCTGTTCCCATGACACCAACCACGCGCAGCCCCGACACGTGTGCTGTCGGGCCCGTTGGACCAGAACCATCTGCGAGTTGGGAATCTGTCATCTTGCTCTTCCTCCCCAGCACTTGGCAGTGTGGGCCGCAGAGCAAGCACTTGATATGCGCCCTTTAATTGGAATTAGACCTTCTACAGTTTTAAGCAGGCTGAACTAAAGTATGCTTAGGGGGTCCACTTTAGGGGAAAACCAGGACTTGGATCATTCATAACCTCACAGCAGGCCCCCAATTTCTGAGACAGTGAACCTTTTTTAACGCCTTAGCTGTTAAATTACTGAACAACACCTAAGTTTTGGAGAAAAAAACCGAACACTGTTGTGATCTCAGATTGACAGCACTTCTCAGTTTGGACGAAGCCCATCTTGAGGGCCGTTTACCCCTGTGGCTCACGGTGATGGTAATGGACTTGGCAGCCCTAGAGATGACAGGCTGGTGTCTGCATCTGTGCTGCACACGGCACAAAAGGCCACCCAGTACTTTCTCCCCACCCCTGAGTGCACAGGCCCCACCCCTGATGGCACAGGCCCCACCCCCGACTGCACAGGCCCCACCCCCGACTGCACAGGCCCCACCCCCATCCCAACCCCTGAAGCCTGGTTTCCACTGTACGACCCCTGCGGCTAGAGCCAGAGAGAAACTTCAGGGTTGATATTATTGAATCATAAAAATACGACCGCAGGAGCGATCGTTTTGGAATGTTGAATCTTGGTGTATCTACACTCAGTGATTCTGGGCCACCCTCATACACTGGGAAAGGCACATAAACCATATACCTTGGACCTGGATGAATAAGAATCTTAATCCAATCATACATTTTGAAGGATATCTGTTTGTAAACATGTTTTAATATTCATAAACAAATAGCGCTTCGAGCTATGTAGACATAGTGTCATAATCAAATCGCACACGTTAAATGTTCATCACACAGCAAGTTAAACAGATTACACCTCTGACCTGCTAGAGATGAAATCTAAACCTGAAACAGCCTCTGTCGGTGGACAAATTCACAAGAGGACGTATGAACACAGGCACAGCTGTGCAAACACTGGTAAGTAAATACACGAATAGGAATTTATATCAAATGCAAGTGAAATCGTGGTCTACGCTTGGGAAACATTAAGTATTACCTATTGCGACCAAATGGTGAAGTTGATTTATGTTTGTGAGAAAGTGGTTTAGTTCAGAGTGAGATCAGGCCCCTTAGCTGAAACTTTCCACCAAATAACCAAGCTCTAGTCAATACCAGGCTTTAGCAGAACCGTTATCAAAATGAGACTGAATACGTTATTTGAGTCGAAGATAAAGTTCCTAACTACGATGTAAGGACTAAGTGAAACTCATTGATCAATGGAGTATTAGATATGCAGAAAAACCCTACGAGGAACCAGGAATTCAGGTTAAAGTAGAACAAGATTAGAGTCTTCTGGGTTCTTATTGTTTAAAACCTTTCTAAAATGGATGAGTCAACTTCCTTGCCTTCACGGAAAAGGAACGGTTTCTAATATAAATCAGCTGAAATGCCCTCAGATGGGTATATTTTTAATTTGGTGGTTGGTGACTCAGGGCTCATTTTCCCCAAGCCAATCAGAAAAGTCTTGGTAACACGTATCTTTCCAAGGAAGCGCACTAATACTGTGATATCAGTGCTACTGAGTTGTCATAATAACATCCATTTTAAACATAATTACACCAAATAAGCTACTTCTCTATGCATTTCCCAGGCAGGAGCATCTGAAGACGAACAAGAAAATACAGACATTTCACCTCTCAGTTTTTGACACCTATATACGAAAAGGCATCTTGTTAATGCAAACACCCCTCCCAAGAGTCCCCATGGGAAGCACGCTCTGAAAGCCACAGTCTTTATTCTTGTTTATATGGACAAGTTTATGACAACCCTGACAGCAAACACCATCTTTTTTTTTTTTTTTTTTTTATGGGAAATGGGTTCATCATTCTCAAGTTTGTCACATCAGCAATGCAGACGTAACTACAGAAGCTATGAGAGACTGGGCCGAATATCACTAGATTTTAAAACCCCCCTCAGAAACTCATTCACATCGGCTCCCGATAAAAGCCTATCTTATCATTCTTTTGACTTGAGCAGTAAAAGCAGAGGGAGGGAGTGGTACCAGCTGTATGAAGTGGCTTCTACCCTACTAAGTCCTGGCTCAGAAAAGGACTTATTGACTACAAACCAAAAAAGATTGCTGCTCTGACCTGTCGTTGCTGCCATGATACTGAGATTCAAGATTCTTTCCACCCACGGCTCTAACTCAATTCCCTGGCCAAGCACCTCGATGCCTACAAGGCACCTCACCCACACCTTGCTAGGATCCTGAGGGTACTTCCGAGGAACCAGGAATAGGACTACCCGTATTCTCTGGAAAGTTCTAACTTTTCTGGAACACAAAGGCACGTCTTACCCTCACCAATTAAGTTATCAGATTCCTCCCTGATCTCAGCACTACCCTTTGGCGAGTTACTTCAGAGTGAGAGCTGTTTCTTCGCTTAAATTTCACGTTACAGGACACACTGTACGTGGGTTCAGTTTCACACTGAACATTTCAGTGGGCTCAGCTCAACTGGACGATGATGTATGAGTGTCTGCAGTGACTAAGACGTCTCAGTCCTACAAGGCTAAGTGCGGATCTGAACAGATGAGAACACGGGCGTCATTTGCAAGGCCTGGCAAGTGTTTCTATAAGGCCTGCTCCCCCCTTTGGAGTGGGACAAGGTGAGCGAATCCGAGTAGCTGAGACGCCTCCTTGCACCTCAGCCTCTAGAGAGCTTCGGAACGTGGCTGGGGAGATGTGTGTGTCGGGGGGGTTTGTTGCCGGGCTCCGACTGCTTTCGGGAATGTCCGAGGAAGAGTTCAGGCCGGAGTGGACCTTTCCTCCACCTGACGCTGACATGCACCTCCGGTGACCCCACCCTCCTGACGACGGGGTGAAGTCTGTTGACCACCCTCTATTTATAGAGGAGAAAACCCAGACTTTGAGGGACTTGCTCAAGGTCACACAGCAACATGCAGGCAGCTTGAGAACCGGAACCTGGCCTTCGGATCCTTTCTGGTGGACCACCCTGTCCAGGGATGCAGGTAAAACATCTGTCAGGTAACGACGAGCAGAATGTGGCTCATCTCTGTGGGGAGAAGCTGGCCGGGCCCCAGAGAGACCATGGGCCTCCTGATCACAGACCTGTCCACGTGTCCAGGTGTGCAGGTGTCCAGGTGTGCATGGAAGCTGGTTCCACTTGAGGGCCTCTGGCCCAGCATGGATCTCAGTGTCGCACGATGAGCTGGGCAGAGGGGAAACTCTACGGAAGGGCTTGAGTCTGGAAAGGATTCGAGGGCGAGATGGCAGGAGGGGCAGCGCCCAGACGCCCTCCACTAGTAACTGCAGCTCTGCTTCCTCTCAGCCCCCTGCTTGTTCAACCTCACGCCTGAGTAGGCTGTGTTTAAAAACCTGCTGAACGAAAGCTCCCTCTTCCCAGAGCCCACTCTCCACAGAGGGTGCTAAACAGGGAGGACGGAGCTGGTTGGCGCCATCTGGCCCCTCCCTGAACCTCAGCCTCCCCAGGGACGATTACGCAGGGGCTCATACGTGGCACTGAGATCCACTGCGAGGGGCCGTGAGAACTCCTCTCAGGGCAGAACGAGCTTCCACGCACGCCTGCACACCCGAGCAGGTCTGCGGTCAGGAGCCCGTGACCTCCCTGTGGCCTGGCCGGCTTCTCCCCACGGAGATGAGCGTGGTCTTTACAGCAAAGAACAGGATTACGTCAGACGCTGCATGTCACTTCTCTGAACTTTACATTCCCAGTCCAAGCTGCTTTCCCAACTCCAGAGTCACAAACCCAACGGCTAGCTGGACGTCTCCACGTGGATGGGGAAGCACCTAAGCCCGGCATATCCAAAAGCAAGCTCTCCACCACCCCGACCCACCCTCTTCCTAGCACCCGCCCTGCGCCCCATGAATCCCTCCTCCCTGCCATGGCCTCGGCCTGCAGCACCCTCCCCGGGCTGCGAGCATCACCCCTCCACTGCTGTAGCTCTTTCCTCAAGTGTCGCCTACTCAGTGAGGCTTCCCTGCCGAACTCCTTAAAACTGTCACCTCTCTCCAATGCCCCCCGGCTTTCTTTTCCTCCCCAGCACTTGCCACCATCTGGTTTCATATATTTAACTTGGGTGCTTCCTTGTCATTCTCCCCTGTGGTGGGAGCAGTACAGCCCACTCTGCTTCCCCAAACCCCCCCCCGCCTTGTGCTGAAGCTGGTCCAGGAAGAGGCTACACTTCCCAGCCTCCTTTGTAGCCAAGTGTGATACGTCCAAATCAGAGTCAAGGGGGCCCGGGAGGATAAGCAGAAGGGATGGGGTGGCATCTGTGTCACCTCCACTTTAGGGACAAATTACCCCAGCGTCCCCTTCGCTGGGGCTGGAGCTGCATGTAGCAGCAGCCCAGTCTGGGTCCTGTGGGTGAGGAGGACAGATGAGGAAGCTACCCAAAGGCTGGCAAAGCGGCAGGGGCCAGGCGCTGGGCCTCTGAAGGACACCTGCGGCACAGCTGCTCCACCAGCTGCACCACCTGCACGGTTACAGAACAGAGAGGACCTGCTGTCTTCCAGAGGCTGCACTACTGGGGGGCTTCCCTGTCACAGCTGCTTAGCCTTGAGCACAACCAATTAAATCCCTCCCCGAAATACAGGCTCCACAAGGGCAGAGATGTCACAGGTTTTGTTCACCACTGTATTGATGATACTT